GTTCTCTGCAATAAACATCTCCAGAGATATGAATCACAAAAAAGTAAATTTGCATGGGAGTTGCCACGTTACCTTGTCCCAATACCTCTCCCTTTTCTCCAATGACATTGGTTTCACATACATACATACATATGTATCTCCAAACTAAGCTTGAGTACTCCATCCCAAATATCTGTAGAGATATGCATTATGAAACTTTAATTTAGTATGAGAGGTGCCACGCCCCTTTTCCAAAAACGTTAATTTTTCTCTGTGAGTGAGCATGAATTTGATTTCTCCATACCAAGTTCCAGTTCTCTCCCACAAATACTTCCAGAGATATGTATGTATTATGGAAATTCCAATTTTTATGGGAGGCGCCTTGAGTTATCGGAATTACTTTCAGTCAGTAAATATAACCGCGAAACCAAGATACGGTTACCAGATTTGTAAGGGCGAAAATCGGGACAATTATAAAGCATCGAATCCGAACATACAATTTTGTTTTTAGAATAAAAAGACATAACATCTATTAACAGAGATTTATTTAAAACAAAATATAATAAAGTATACGTTTGAAGTAGCTAAGACTTACCGTTGATTTTTGACAATTTTTTGTTCGCGCGTTTTCTTCCATACAAAGTAAGTCCTAGTCACTTAAAGTTTTCCCTTTCAATCGAATGGGCTACAAAACTGCATACTCACAACGCTTCGTAGAAATCTAATTAAAAAGCTCAAAAATTTAATGAAACTATGTCGAATTTTGCTAATTTTTGTAAAAAATTTTAAATTGTGACTTACAATTTCATAAACAAATAATTAAAATTAAATAATCGAAAGGGGAATAGCTAAATAATTGTAAAATGACTTTTCCCTATTTATATTTTCGCCACTGTATCTACGGCTTATATTTTTCCTACTCATGATTTTTAAGGCAGTTGGTGTTATTTTTTGTAATTTCAATAAAATCAAGTTAGAATTGTTTCATTAAAAAAATTTAACAAATCATTACAAAAACCTTAAAAAAACTGTGACAAGAATAATAGACTGCAATATATCGATAGTTTGACAGAATAAAACATAACCAAAGATCACCGAAAATAAGGACGAGGCTATGTTTATGGCTCCCTTATATTCTAATCGTTTGTGATAACGAAAGTGCTGACATGTTTGTGCGAGAAAATGTATTCTTATTAAATTGATAAAGAAAATACTGAAAAATCGGGACTTAATCGGTACAAATATGAATAATCGGGACACTTATACGTCCCGACTTTTAAAAAAATATTCATATTAATTTTCTCAAAGTCGGTACTGTCCCGCCAAAATCCGTACGAATGGTCACCGTGGTCTAAGATCATCCTTTTGAAATCCGTAGTAAGTGTGCAAAATTTGGTTCTGATCGGGAAAGCGGCTGGGGAAGTACCCTATTTTTCAATCCAGGTCATAAATCATCTGTGTGCAAAATTTCATTTTCAAACAGGTGGCAACCCTCTTGAAAAATATCTTCGAAATTAAGCTCTCTTAAACCTTTTTTCGTTTGACACCTTTATTGTAATATTTGATTGAATTTATTAATTTAATTTAACTTTTTTAACAGATTGCAACTGATAAAAAAAGTAAACTCTTTACCAATCTAGGTCCGTTCATCGTTTCCGCGTATTAATTTAATTAAACGTTTTTACCAGGTGGCAACTCTTTAAAAAAGTAGCCTATTTTCCAATCTAAGTCATAAACTGTCTGCGAGCAAAATTTCATGCAAATCCGTTAAGTAGTTTCCGCGTAATAATTTAATTAAAATTTTTAACAGATGGCAAATTAAAAAAAAAAGCATAATATTTTCCAATTTAGGTCATAAACTATTTATGCAAATCCGTGCAGTTGTATCCTCCTTTCTATGTTATAAGCTATCTGTGAGTAAAATTTCATGCAAATCCGTTCAGTCGTTTTCGCGTGTTAATGTAATTAACCTTTTTAAAAAGGAGGCAACTCTTAAAAAAAAGTTGCCTGTTTTACAATCTAGGACAAAAAATATATGTGTGCAAAATGGCATACAAAACCCGTTCAGTCATTTCCGCGTGTTATTTGAGTAAACTTTTTTAGCAGATGGAAACTCTTAAGAAAAGTAGCCTATTTTACAATCTAGGTTATAAGCCAGGGGTGGGCAATGCCGAGGCTACAAAGAGCCAAAAAAGGCAACAAAAACTAAAATTTTATTTTTAAATAAAATTATTATTAGAAATGAAAAACATTAATTTAATTATTATTCTAATGTACGTAACATAAGATATTAAAAAAATTCAAAAGATCCATTTGGTCAAATGTTCAAAATCTGGTTTCAGTTAAATGTTGGTTTCTTTACGAATAATTACTTACTTCTTATAAGTTTAAATAGTCGCATTTTACTATTTTAACTTCCAAACCACAAATTTCAATTCAGGGATTTGCGTAAATTCCTATCAGCTGTTTTTGATCAGCTGTTTCCTTGTTGGCAAATTGCTGTGGGCAAACATTTTTCTAGCAGAAACTAGCAGCTTTCCCCTAAAATTTGGTCTTTGATCGTGGTCTGGAGGTAGGGGCTGGATCAAGGCGTTACGCGTACCGTACTGAGGATCAGCCTGGCTGGGAGCCCCTAAATAGCCCAGTCGCTAACGGAGCCCTCTGGGAACCAGGCCGCACCCGGTTGCATTCGATGGCCTTACCCTGGGTACTGCGGATCTCTGCCCGGGGCCGACGAACCCTTTCTCCGCAACTCGTGGGAATATGAGCGAATTAAAAAATAAATTAAAATCAACAACAACGGAAATTGAGACCGGCACTCATAAAAAGTCGGAAGGGCAGTTGCCCAGACACCATGGGGCCCATGCGATGCAGGGTCCCTCTACTAGCCACGACGTGGCCAGCACTAGTGGGGTACGTAAGCCTCTGGCGATGCCGGGGTCAGGCGTATCCACAAAAGCGGAAAGGAAGAGGGTGGGGGAACCGAAACGGGATTTTCCCGGCACCAGTGAAGGCAAACCTGGCTTGCAGCTTGCAGCCCCAGGGGGCGCCAGAGCTGATGCGCGGGCCCCGCCTCCCCCTACTCCTACTGCATTTACAAGGCCTGATGACAGGCCACCACCAAGCGCAGCCATTGCTAAGCACAGGAAGGCTGCCATGAGGATCTTGAAGAGATCCGCATTAACCCCGGACCTATGTAGCAGGGCGCTGCCCTGTCACGTGGAAGAGATCCGCTCGGAGATAGCGTGGGCAATGACGATAGTGCCCGACTATCAGCTGCCGGTGCTCGGAGAGCCACCAGCTGCGGAAAAGCGCAATAGATCGATGGAGGTTGCGCAAAACAAGTCGAAAAGAGCCAGGACGCAAGGCCCCACCTTTGCTGAGGTAGCCAAAAATCGGATCCTCCTGGGTGTGCTCGATGAGAACCAGGAAGACGAATTGGCACTGAGAGCTCATTGGAAATGGGTTAAAGCGGAATTGGCGAACATATGCGTTAGCGTGCTTCGGGAGCACCCCGGACCACCTCCGATATGCCGGGACGCAGGTTGGTTCCAAGGCAACGTCAAGATCGTCGCGTGCGACGATGAAAGGTCTGCGGGCATGTACAAGAAGGCGATGGCCATGCTGGGAGAGGTCTACCCCGGAGCGATGCTACGGGCTGTGGACTTCAAGGACATCCCATCCAGGCCTAGAGCAAGGGCATGGATACCGGCCAAACCGACCGAACCAGAGAGAGTGCTTGAGATTATAAGGCTCTTTAATCCCGAGTTACCCTCTCACAATTGGAAGGTGGTGCGGCTAGAGCATAGCACAAAGTCGACTCGTCAGGCGGTCCTTTTGCTAAATAAGGAGTCGTTGCCACTCCTCGAAAAGACTGGGGGCGTCATCAATTACGGTTTCGACACCGCAAAGATAAGGGTGTACACGAACGACGTGAACGCAGCAAGAGGCAACGAAGTTGAGCCGGAAGCAGACAACAGCGAGGATGAGGTGGACGAGGAACCCAACCAGGCCAATCCGATGGATGACCTGGCTGGTGGATACGCCTCATCTACATCCTCTCTGGGAGTCGACCATATCTTCCGGCAATACACAGAAGAGGAGCTGATGTCAGATGACGACGAGGCGAACTCAACAGTGGTGGAGGGGGTGGGAAGGTGCGGCCAAGATGGTTCGCGTCCTCCAGATTAATCTCCACCACAGCAAAGCAGCGTCGGCTGCACTGCTGCTCCAGCTCTCCAAGGGGGCAGCAGACATCGCCCTCATCCAGGAGCCTTGGGTGATAGGGCATAGAATATGCGGGCTGAAGTCGGCAGAGCACACTTTGATAAGTGGAGCTACCATAGGTAAACCAAGGGCCTGCATCCTTGTAAGTACCAACCTAAAAATATTGTTTCTTCCTCAGTTCAGTGACGAGGACACCACCACCATCAGTCTGGAGGCGAACGGACGACAAATAAGGCTTGCCTCGATGTATCTGGCACATGACAGGCCTGTTCCAACCCTACCGGTCGAACATTTAGTGGAGCGCTGGGACGGGGCCCTGATTCTAGGAGGTGATGCAATGCACACCATAGCACATGGGGAAGTGGAGACATCAATGAACGGGGTGAGTCACTCTTTGAATTCATACTAAAATCTAACTTAGTTATAAGCAATAGGGGTAGCGAGCCTACCTTCATAACGAAGAGCAGAAGAGAGGTCCTGGATGTTACCCTCGTCTCAGAAGATGCGGAGGTCATGATCAGGAACTGGAGGGTGCTTGATGAGCATTCCTTCTCTGATCATCGCTTCATCCAATTCGACTTAGATGGGGTCCCGTCCAAGGTACCTGCCAAAAGAAATCTAAGGAAAGCCGACTGGCATAAGTACAGAAGAGAGCTTGACAAGCGGCTCTCAAGAACCACACTAGCAATTCCAGGAAACTCTAGGGACCTAGATAGGCTGGCAAATCGCTTTACTGCGGCATGTGGCAAGGCTCTGGATCAGGCCTGCCCCATGGTAAAGCCGAGCGGCAAAAAGAAACCACCTTGGTGGAGTACAGAGATTGACGAGGCCCGCAAAAATTGTCGTAGAGCCTTCAATCTCGCAAAATCCTCGGGAGGCGATATGCAATGGGAAATCTATAAGTTAAACTTGAAAGATTACAAGAAACTACTAAGGAAGAGCAAGAGATCCTCATGGAGGAACTTTTGCAGTGGTATGGAATCCGTATCAGAAGGTTCTAGGCTCAGGAAGGTTCTCTCTAGTTCACCTCGTATCGCCCCGGGATGCTTGCTAAGATCCGACGGAGCGTGGACGGAAACTGGGGAGGAATCCCTGGACCATCTTCTGAGCACGCACTTTCCAGGCGCCACCGAGCAGCCATTGGACGGGCCAATAAGAAATAGAGGTCAACCAGTTACGGTAGACCTCATCACCAAAGAAAAACTAATGTGGGCAATAGGGTCCTTCAAGCCTTACAAATCTGCGGGTCCAGATGGTGTTACACCGATTCAGCTGCAGCAATCTATGGAGCTAAGCTCAAAATGGCTGTATGCTATTTTTAAGGGAGTCCTCACTCTCAACTACATTCCGGAGACCTGGCAAAGGTCAAAGGTTGTCTTCATTCCTAAAGCGGGAAGAACATCCCATACTAGCGCCAAGGATTTTAGACCTATCAGTCTATCATCTTTCCAGCTCAAGATAATGGAGCGACTGATTGAATCATTTCTTAGGGAATCGGTTGCAGACAAGCTTATGGCTTCGCAGCATGCCTATATGAAGGGGAAGTCCACCGAAACAGCGCTACACGAAATCGTATCGCATATTGAGAAATCCCTTGCGATAAAGGAATACACCTTGATAGCATTCTTAGACATTGAGGGTGCTTTCAACAACATCACACCTGAAGCAATCACATCAGCTCTAACTGGTCTGGACATCGACTCACGGCTGGTGTCGCTTATACGACAGCTGCTAGTTGGCAGGGTCGTGCGGGCGGAACTGGCGGGCGTGTCGCTGGACAGATACGTTTGCAGGGGAACCCCGCAGGGTGGGGTCCTCTCCCCCCTTCTATGGGTCATGGCGATTAATGAATTATTGCAGACCCTGGAAGGGGGGGAGGCTCCAAGGTCATAGCGTATGCTGACGACCTTGCGGTGGTTGTGAGTGGAAAATTTCCACAAACTCTTTGTGACATTATGCAGGACAGACTAAGGTTAATCGAGAGATGGACCAAGGAGAAAGGTCTGGGTGTTAACCCAGAAAAAACGGACCTGGTGCTCTTTACCAGGAAGTACAAAATCCCCTCACTTCAGCTCCCTGCCATAGGCAATAAGATTCTGAAGCTAGGGGAGTCTGCAAAATATCTAGGCGTAGTCCTGGACAAAAAGCTTAACTGGGCGCAAAATATACAAGAGTGTGTTAAAAAAGCGACGGTAGCCCTCTACAGCTGCAAGGGGGCGATTGGGCGTAGCTGGGGGCTGTCCCCTAGCATCATGTATTGGTTATACACGGTAGTTGTTAGGCCGATTCTATTATATGGGGTCTTGGTATGGTGGCCAAGTCTCAACAGGAAATCTACAACTGAAGCACTCCAAAAGGTGCAAAGAATTGCGATGCTCTGCATCTGTGGGGCCCTGCGCACAACTCCATCGGAGGCTATGTGCGTGCTCCTCGATATTTTACCAATTGAAATTGTTGGAAAGCAATCAGCGGGGTGTGCCGCCTTGAGGTTGAGGGAACTACCAGGCTGGAGGGACACTCAGGAAGGCCACACCGCAATCTTAAAGGACGTAAATATACCGGACACGGATTACTGTGCACCAAGGTTGAACTTCACAAAGAGGTATAGGATTTCCATTCCAGATAGAAAATTCTGGTCAGGAGGGGCTCCCGATGACAATGGATCACTCCACCTCTACACCGATGGCTCTAAGCTAGACGGCAAGGTAGGAGGGGGGGTCTTCTCGGCCCGACTGGGGCTGGAAATATGTTTTCGCTTACCCAACCACTGCAGCGTCTTTCAAGCTGAGGTCGCTGCCATACAGGAAGCGGTTGAACACCTACGTACAAGAGAAGTCATTTATAACGATATCTTCATCTACTCAGACAGTCAGGCCGCACTCAAAGCGCTCGACTCGGTCACATGCAGTTCAAAAACCGTAGCGGACTGTCGCAGATCTCTGAACGAGATGGCTGAGCAGTCTGCACTTCACTTGGTATGGGTTCCGGGGCACCGGAACATACCAGGCAACGAAAAGGCGGACGAACTTGCAAGAGAGGGCACATCCGCTCCACTTTCGCAGGCCTGGAAGGGATTAGGCATGCCGCTCGCTACCTGCAAGCTCATTCTAAGGGATCTGTCTCTTAAACTAGCAAGGGACAGGTGGGATAGCCTCACCACTTGCAACAACACGAAGCTTACATGGCCTAAATGGGACAAAAAGCGGTCGAAGGACCTCCTCATGCTGAGCAAAGGAGACCTAGCCGCAGCTGTGGGTCTGCTAACAGGCCATGTTGCTATCGGGGGGCACGCGGAGAGGTTAGGGATCCCCCATAACGACTTCTGCAGAAGCTGCAGAAATGAAGAAGAGCCAGAAACCTTGCGGCACCTGTTATGCGAGTGCCCCGCACTTTGTAGAAGAAGACAAAAGTTCATGGGTTCAGGATTCTTTGAGGACCTAACCGACATAGCCGAAGTAGGCATACGGCAACTTCTGGGTTTCGCAAAATCCACACGATGGTTTGAGTAGGAGGGTTCTAACGATCCGCGTGGTATCACAACGGGCCCACAATCTAGGGCCTATGTGTGCTAGTGGGGTCACGGGCAGCCACATCAACCTAACCTAACCTAACCTTCCCCTAAAATGAAATGTCATTTTGCTCTCTCAATTTCTCCTACTTTGCAAGTTTCTTGCGTACACGAAAACAAAAAAAAAACTGATAGTTTTTTAAACGTCAATAAATGTTAGGTACGCGAATGCAAATAATTGTGAACGGTATTTTGACTTTACGAATTTCATTGTAGAGTACAAAGACTCATAGTGATACGTTGTACCAAAAATTTGAAATATACGGCACGCAGCTGTTTTCAACAGCGGATATTTTAAATCTGGTACTTGTTGCCGACAATTCAAGCAATGGCAAAGCTTTATGTTGCCGTTCCAGTGCCTTATCTTTTTTTATTCCAAAAACACCAACTCTTCTTCGCTTTTCTGAAAAACGAAAATTTCGGATATTGTAAATTCATCCTCAACACACATAAATGGGTTTATGAAGTGTGAAAACATACACTTAAATAATTTCAAATCAGTAAAACTTTTTTCAATATCTACCTTTAAATCATGTGCTAAATTTTTTTCTAGCTATGGAAAATGATGAAATATTCTTTTTTCGAGATCATGATCAAAACACGTAGTTTAGCTTCCACCATGGATCAGGTGTTCACTATACGCCAAATCTTGGAAAAGACCCGCGAGAATAGGATCGACACACACCATCTATTTGTCGATTTCAAAGCCGCTTTCGACAGCACGAAGAGAAGTTGCCTTTATGCCGCGATGTCTGAATTTGGTATCCCCGCGAAACTAATACGGCTGTGTAAAATGACGTTGAGCAATACCACCAGCTCCGTCAGAATAGGGAAGGACCTCTCCGAGCCGTTTGATACCAAACGAGGTTTCAGACAAGGGGACTCCCTTTCGTGTGATTTCTTTAATCTTATGTTGGAGAAGATAATAAGAGCCGCAGAACTGAACCGCTCAGGCAAAATACTTTACAAGAGCGTACAACTGATGGCATATGCCGACGACATCAATATTATCGGTACAAACAGGGGCTACGTCTGTTCTCCTTCTCGATATTAGATAGAGAAACAAAGCGAATGGGTCTGGTGGTGAACGAGGACAAAGCGAAGTATATCCTGTCATCACACATACAGTCAGAGCGTACGCGTCTTGGCACACACGTCACTGTTGACAGTTACCGGCTTGAAAAAGTAGACGACTTGGTTTATTTGGAACCAGCATTAACACCAATAATAATGTCAGCCTTGACATCCAACGGAGAGTCACTCTTGCCAACAAGTGCTACTTTGAACTGAGTAGGCAATCGAAAAGTAAAGTCCTTTCTCGTCGTAAAAAGATCACACTCTATAAGTCACTCATCGTGCCTGTGCCGCTATACGCTAGGCGGGGCATGGACAATGAAAATATCTGATGAAGCGTCTGTTGGAGTTTTCGAGAGAAATATTCTGCGAAAAATTTACGGACCTTTACGCGTTGTCTATGGCGACGAGCTTTACAACGATATAGACATAGTGCAGCGAATTAAAATTCAGCGGCTCCGCTGGCTTGGCCATGTCTTTCGAATGGACAGAAACGCTCCTGCTCTGAAAGTATTCAACGCGGGCTACGATGCTGGTAACCGAGGAAGAGGAAGCCATCCTATGCGTTGAGAAGACCAGGTGGAGAGGGACTTGGCTTCACTTGGCGTCAGTTGGCACAGAAGAGAAATGACTGGCGTGCTGTTTTTGACTCGGCCAAGATCGCTTAGGCGGTTACAGCGCCAATAAGGAAGAAGAAGAAGAAGCTTAGCTTCAAAACTAAAAATAATTTGCGACAAATCAAAAATATTTTTATTCTCTCCTTGTAGAGACAAATCCAAGTTTTGCAAATGTTCCATCATACCTGTAAGAACATTAAGTCAGAAAGCCAATTTTTATTCTCCAATTGCGGGGTCAATTTGCGAATGTGTATAAAAAAAGAATAAAATAAAAAAAAACAACACAATGGAATAGAATGTCCAAGAAATATGTATTTTGAAAAGTAAAAAGAGCCAAAATGTTCTAAATAAGCAAAGAGAAAGTAAAAAGAGCCGCGCTTTTCTGCGCAAAGAGCCGCATTTGGTTCAAAGAGCCACGTTTGCCCACCGTTGTTATAAGCTATCTGGCCATATCATATCCTGGGTTACGGACGCGACATTCGCACGCGTTTCACTTATTTTAAAATAGGAAGGAAACTGAGAGATCGTACGTACATTAGGGCGATTCAAAACTTGAACTTTTTTGAATTTCGACTGGGAATGTTCGGATTCTTGAAAATAATAGGGAAGACAAGTTCTTTCTAAAATTTCAGCTTATTCGAACAAGATTTAGAGGTCGCTCAACGCTGTTGTTTGTTTTCCGGAAACTGCAGATTTTAAATGCATCTTTATAAAAAAATAGGTATATTTTCATCAAATCTTGTCGGATTTCGTTGAAAATTCGTTGGTAAGTTTCCAAATATCAGTTTATTAGAACACAGTTTATATTAGTTTGATAAATTAGTTTTAAATGCATATGTTAATTAGTTAGTAACAAAGTTTTGCCTTATAAAAAATGAATATTTGCAATAACTTTATTTTGTTCCTTAACGAGTGAGCATGTGCTTAATACATTTAAGATCACATTATAATTCATACCAATAGTGGACCTCATCATTAAATATTACTAATCATCAAATAAAAAAAATCACCAGATAAACATCACTCATACGCCATGTTGAATCCAAGTGTTCTCCTAGTCATTGCAAATATTAATGGTATAATAACAATATTTTGGCGCATGCACCTTTGCCAAGTGTTTGGCTGAGCTTCTCCTTCAATTTGTGGTGAGGGTCTTGATGTTGTGAAAAAAAGGCACGGACCTACAGCTTTACGCCGCCTCCGAACAGAAATGGCTTTTGTGAGAAGCTTTTTTAAGGCAGAAATACACACGGAGGCAGTGTTAGGAGTTAATCAATTAATTTTTCTATCATACCACTAATACCCAAAGAGTAAACAATTATTTCGATGAATTTTTCAAGCCCTTGTGTTTATTTCAGATATAATAATGACATAAAACTATTGCACACGGTGCAAGCGTTTAATAACATCTTTTTTTCTTGGAATAGTTTCTCGGTGCTTCCGAACTGTCAAAAACAATGCTTGTTTTTGCTCCTCACTTTTGGCATGCATGTTGTTGAAGCTTTGAGCGAGCGCCACTCCACGCTCTGCGGTGTCGTTTACAAATTTTAAATTCCTTATATTTTTTTCTTATATATAAAAATAAGTGCACGTTTTTGGTGTGACCTCATAACTTGAGAACGGCTTCACCGAATTCAACCAAATTTATGTGGCAT